TTGGGATCTCTTTTAGGAGGTGATCGGTGGATTCTTTGAATTATCAAGGAAAACTGTGCCCTGACATCTTTCCATTTCTATTGAAAGAATATCAGGGCAGTTTTCCTTGATAATTTCTTGAAAGATGATGTCTAGGCTGTTTTTTTGATCATGACTTTCAGGTAGTCCAATAATTCTTAAACTCTCTCCTGCATCTATTTACCAAGTCAGTTGTTTTTCCAGTGAGATATTTCACATTTTCTCCTATCTTTCATTCTTTTTTATTTGATTGATTATTTCTTCATGTTGCATAAAGTCATTATCTTCCACTTGCCCAATTCTAACTTTTAAGGAAAGTTCTTCTTCAGTGAATTTTTGTAAATTTTTTTCCATTTGGCCAATTCTGCTTTTCAAGGCATCCTTCTCTTCACTGGATTTTTGTGCCTCTTTTACCATTTGGCCTAATCTGTTTTTTTAAGCTGTTATTTTCTTCAGTATTTTTTGTTCCTCCTTTACCACGCTGTTGACTCTTTTTTCATGATTTTCTTGCATCACTCTCTTTTCTCTTCCTCTACCTCTCTTACTTGATTTTTAAAATCCTTTGCGCTCTTCCATGGCCTGAGGCCAATTCATATTTTTCTCTGAGGCTTTGGATTCAGGGAGTTTGACTTTGTTGTCCTCTTCTGAGTGTCTGTTTTGATCTTCCTTGTCACCATAGTAACTTTCTATGGTCAGAATTTCTTTCTGTTTTTGCTCATTTTCCAGCCCATTCATTGGCTATTAACTCCATGCTAAAGTGGGGTTCTGCTTCCCAAGTAGAGGGGGCACTGTCCCAAGCTTTGTGCAGCTGTTTTCAGAGGTAATTCTGGGGACCTGTATGGTTTTGGCCCTTCCAGGGTGATATGATCCAAGGAAAGGTATGTTTACTACTCTCCTGTACTGTGCTCTGGTGTGTAAGCAACTACAAGCCCTCTTTTTCAGCCCTGGAACTATGACCAGGATCCCTGTTGCCCTGCACCTGCTAGCTCTGATTTGCTAGTGGTCCTCCTCACACTAGGACCAAGTCCCAGGACTGTGACCCATATCCAAGTATAGGCAATGCAACAGAGTCCTGCCCCTGATATCAGCAAAGGGACCCCTGTACATCTCCTTCTGACCCATTGTCCAGTCCCCTTACCATCTGTTGGCTGAGAGGTCTGGAAACCACCATTGCTGCCACTGATTCAGTTGCCCTGAGACCTGCACCTGATTTGCTGGGGCCTGGTCTGTACTTCACTGTGCTCCTCTCTCACCCTGGTGACCTTTCCTGCTGACTTTCTAAGTTGTCTTGGGCTGGAAAATTGTTTCACTCTATCTTTTTATGGTTCTGCCCCTCTAGAATTTACTAGACTCATTATTTAAAGATACTTGGAAGGGTTTGGGAGAGACCTTGGGTGAGTCCCTGCCTTTGCTCCACCATCTTGGCTCTGCCTCCTCTCTGTGGTGATGGTACTTTTGAAAATAACAGAGGAGTTGAGAGAAGATAGTATCAGCAAAAGGAGAAGAGGGTGACTGGCAGCATCAGAGGCTACAGAGAGGTCGAGAGGATGAGGACTGAGAAAAAGCCTTTAGATGCAGTAACTAAGACACCTTGGGTAACTTTGGAGACAGCAGTTTCTATTGAATAAGGATGGAGACCAAATTGCAAAGTGTTAAACAAACAAGAGGAAAGGAAATGCAGGGACCTGTTGTAGACAGCCTTCTCAAGGAGTTGAGCCACAGAAAGGAGGGAGGTGTAGGACAATAGCCGGTGGGGAGAGATGGATCAAGTGAGTGGTTTTTGAGGATAGACAAGACGTGCATATGTTGTCAGGCAGAAATGGCCAGTAGACCGGGGTGGGGGGATAAAGATATAAGGGAAAAGGTCAGGATGATAAATGGGGCAATCCACTAGGAAACACAGCATAGAATGGCATCACTTGTGCACGTGGAAGGGTTTGTCCTGGCAAGGAGAAGGGCACCTGTGAGACAGGTGAAGGAGGTAATAGTGGCAGGTGGCATTTGTGGAGTATGTCCCTAGCAATATACCAGGCCAGATTTTCTCCACGTGGAATGAACAGCAAATTTCGTATAGGTAAATGTTTGGCATAGTTTACTAGAAAAATGCGTTCCCCCAACACCCAGCTCCACCATTAACCCATTACATGAACTTGTTGCTTTACCTCAATGGGACTCAGGGTCTTCACCTGTAAAGTGCTAGAGTTGGATTATATGATATGTAAGGCCCCCTCCCACCCCTAATTATATATTAGCTCAATGCCCTGTAAGTTTTCAGAGAATCTAGATGCTCTTCTTCCCTCCGTCTTGGCTCAAGGGATGTCCATTTACTGTAGGCTTACTCTGGACCTTTCACAGTAGATGCTGGCTTTGGACAGCGGCAAGTCACTGGAGGTCTCCTTCAGATTTTGTCCTAAAGGGCTTGAGCCCAAACAAACCCTGGGTCACAGTGGAATGACAAGGGAGGAATAAGGGGGAATAAGCCTCTGGAAATCTGCCTGGCTTATGCCAAGCCTTGGAATGATGGCTGAGAGAACCTTCTGCCCTGTGGGAAACAAAACTCCCTGTGCGCTTAGGAGGCAGAAAGGGTCTTTTTAATGACATGTCAACAAATGGACATTTTTAACTTAGATTTGTTCCATCTCGGATTCAGAGTTGACTGGAACTGATAAAATGCCTTTTTAGTTCATAGAGTGACTTGCCTGAATGATCTCATACATAAATGCCTGGCCCCCTCAATTTGAGTGAAAATGTAATGTGCTTGCCCTTTGCCTACCAAAACATCAGCTGTTTTTCTCTGAGGTGACACTTGAAGAAGCCACCTTTTTATTTTCATCTATTTCATTTTGAGTGAGGTATGACATTCCAGTGTGTGTTGCATTAAAGTGGCCAGCGGGCTGATTTCTCTTCTGGCCCTAGGTGTAGACACAGAGAATTCCCTTCAAAATGTAGTTTTCCTTCTTAAGGCCCACTATCCTGTGGATTCCTGTCCCAGCTTCATGGGAGGACAAGGGCCTAAAGGAGAGAGTGAGCACATTGTGTATTTATGAGAACTTATTTGATATTTTGGAAAGACAGAGTTCATTCCTCTCTTCCTATATCCCATAAAACAGAGGGTCTTAATCTAGGGTCAGTGAACCTGTTTTTCTAATTTTTTTTTAATATGTGGTTCCATAGAATTCGTTTCCTTCATAATCTTGTGTATTTTTATTCTATGAATTGAAATACATGATTCTGAGGAGGGTTCCACAGGTTTCATTCACCAGACTGCCTGTAGGAGGGGTCCAGGGCACAAGAAAGGCTGAGAACCCCAGCTTTACAGCAGTGCCGTTCTAGCCAGAGTCTCTAATGGGGCAAGTTGTACCAGGTAGAGGCAGACATGCTAGAAGGCTAGCCACATTCTCCTATATTTATCTTCTTTTCCATGACGTCTGCTTCTCTCCCACCTTCGCCGTACTTTTCATTCCCTTTCTGATCCCCAGCTCTCTCCTAGCCGGGAGTATGGCTTTCATTCCACAACTCAGTACTGATCAGAATGAATCAGCAATGGTCAGATGAGGCAGTTGAAGAAGGGAGTGTGTGATGGGGGAGTACTCATGGGACTGAGATACAGAAGGAAACTTGTCCAGTGGAATTGTTTAGACTGATGGCAAAGGAACAGGAGTCAGGACCAAATGTGATCAGGACAGGCCCTGCCTTGGAGCAAGTCACCCTAGAACCCTATAGGCCCCATGTGGCCTTTGGGGTTACCACTTGGAGTGTTCTGCCCTAGGGAGAAATTCTGCTCTCCAGGGAGAGGCTGTGTCTTTCAAATTGGCCACATCCATCATATTGTGTCTTCCAGTGCTGGCATCAAAAAGCTGTCAACAGAAGGAGAACATCTCAAATGTTCTTCCCACTCTTCTGCCACATGCCCAACCAGAAGCTGGGGTTGGAGTAGTGGGCACTTAGGTCTGGAAGTTTGGCCTGGCCCTGAGTCCTGATCGACTGAATTCTCCAATGAGCCATTTAAGTAGATTAGATGGGTCAGGGGCAGGATCCCTTTTTCCTCAATTGTGTTGTTCTGCTTCCAGTCTGCAGTGGTCCCCCTCACTCCCAATTCCAGCAGCAGTGTGGAGGATCAAGATTAAAGGCCCACATAGAGCCTACCACACTGGCACTAAAAAGCTGTGTGGCCTCAATGACCAGACAAGTTCCTGGCCTCCTCTTCTCTTCCATTTTCTCCAGCTTATGAGCTCAGCTGTGGTGTTCTGGGGCTGAATTCGTATTATCCTAATGCCTCGACACACCCAACAGACCTTCTTTGATTCAGGTGGTGCCACTGGAAAGCCACAAGGCTGTGGGTGGGCTAGTCAGACCAGTTACAATGGGACACTGTAATCTATTGGGCCTCATACACTGGGCAGGCTATGGATAATGGTTTAGTTTTCTGACTGTGTAGTTGGAGTTGTCCTTCCTTTTTAAAGAGGATCAAAATGATACAACAGTGTTAAAGTCAAGTTACAATGTTTCCAACTGTGGCTGATCAGACCAAAATGGGCTTGAAAGGTCAGGCACAAAAGAACATTTGGGGTGGATTCTCTGAGTCTGTGCATCTTGAGGTTATTTTGAGTTGCTTCACTTCTGCTTTGCTCATTGAGAAGGCACAGCCCCTTCTCAGATGGGCCGCACTATGCTGGGCAGTCTTGTGCCAAGTTCACCCATGTTCCTAAAGACTGGGGAAGAAAAGAAGGCATATGCTTACCCTGGTTGGTATCAACCTGAGGTTCTTAGGTCTAAATGTTGAGACCCAAAACTATTACGCCAAGTTCTTTTATAATATTTTGATTAGAGTTCATGGATGGTGGGGGTGGGGTGGGGCTAGAACCCTGAGGCTTGTACTAGCTGACATGGGCAACATTCTGATGTTGGAACCTTGCCCCATCTCCCTCATCTCTTCATTTCCAACCTGGCTGATGGCCTCATTTTGTCTCCATTTATTTTAGCTTTAACATCTCCCAAACCGAACCTGATGGGTCTGCCTGGCACCACGGTCCCTTCACCTGGCCTTCCGACATCTGGATTACCAAATAAACAGTCGTCAGCCTCGCTGAGCTCCCCGACCCCAGCACAAGCCACTATGGCGATGACCCCGCAACAACCCCCCCAGCCCCAGCAGCAGCAGCAGCAGCCTCCACCAGTGCAGCAGCAGCAGCAGCAGCAGCAGCCGCCTCCCCCACCAACACCACAGCAGCAGCAGCAGCAGCCACCACCTCCGCAGCAGCAGCAGCAGCGAAAGGACAAGGAAGTAGAGAAAATGAAAGAAAAAGAAAAGGCACATAAAGGGAAAGGGGAGACCCTGGCGGGCCCCAAGAAGGACAAAGGAGAGGCCCCCACAGCCACCCTCTCTGCCCCGTTACCCACAATGGAGTACGCGGTGGACCCGACCCAGCTGCAGGCCCTGCAAGCAGCCTTGACTTCGGACCCCACCGCCCTGCTCACCAGCCAGTTCCTTCCTTACTTCGTCCCCGGCTTCTCTCCTTACTATGCCCCCCAGATCCCGGGCGCCCTGCAGAGCGGCTACCTGCAGCCCATGTACGGCATGGAGGGCCTGTTCCCCTATAGCCCCGCGCTGTCACAGGCCTTGATGGGGCTGTCCCCCGGCTCCTTGCTGCAGCAGTATCAGCAATACCAGCAGAGTCTGCAGGAGGCACTGCAGCAACAGCAGCAGCAAAGACAGCTGCAGCAGCAGCAGCCACAGCAGCAGCAGCAGCACCAACCACAGAAAGTACAGCAGCAGCAGCAGCAGCAAGCGCCCCAGCCGCAACAGCAGCAGCAGCCGCCCAAAGCAAGCCAAACCCCAGTCCCCGCGGGGGCTGCTTCCCCCGACAAAGACCCTGCCAAAGAATCCCCCAAACCAGAAGAGCAGAAAAGTGCACCCCGCGAGGTGCCCCCCCTCCTGCCGAAACCCCCAGAAGAGCCAGAAGCAGAAAGCAAAAGTGTGGACTCCCTCTCCGACCCCTTCATTGTTCCAAAGGTGCAGTACAAGCTGGTCTGCCGCAAGTGCCAGGCGGGCTTCGGCGACGAGGAGGCGGCCACGAGCCACCTGAAGTCCCTCTGCTTCTTGGGCCAGTCGGCGGTGAGCCTGCAGGAGATGGTGCTCCACGTGCCCACGGGCGGCGGCGGGGGGTCCGGCGGCGGGGGCGGGTCTGGCGGGGGCGGCGGGGGCCCTTACCACTGCCTGGCCTGCGAGAGCACCCTCTGCGGGGACGAGGCGCTGAGTCAACATCTCGAGTCGACCTTGCACAAACACAGAACAATCACGAGAGCAGCAAGAAACGCCAAAGAGCACCCTAGTTTATTACCTCACTCTGCCTGCTTCCCCGGTCCTGGCACCGCATCTACCTCGCAGTCTGCCGCTCACTCCAACGACAGCCCCCCGCCCCCCTCCTCCTCCTCCTCTTCCTCTTCCTCCTCCTCCGCTTCCCCCCACGCCTCCTCCAGAAAGTCTTGGCCTCCAGGGGTCCCTCGGGCTTCGGTTGGGAAGCCTGCTTCTTTTCCTCCTCTCTCCTCATCTTCAACGGTTACCTCAAGTTCATGCAGCACCTCAGGGGTTCAGCCCTCGATGCCAACAGACGACTATTCGGAGGAGTCTGACACGGATCTTAGCCAAAAGTCCGAGGGGCCAGCCAGCCCGGCCGAGGGGCCCCCGGCCCCTAGCTGCCCCACCCAGGACCCTGGTCTAGCTAGTGTAGGAATGGACCCCTTCAGATTGTAAGCTTTGAAGATGAACAATTTAAAACACACACACACACACACACACAAACACACACACACACACAAATGAATTTAAATAAAAAAAATTAATAACAAACCAATTTCAAAAATAGACTAACTGCAATTCCAAAGCTTCTAACCAAAAAAAAAAAAAGGAAAAAAAAGAAAAAAAAAAGAAAAAGAGTGGGTTGTTTTCCCATATAACTATCTATGCCGGTGATTTTACATTCTTACCTTTTTTTTTCTTTTACTATGAAATACCAACTCTTGTTACATTTGTCCTTTTGAAGGTACTATTGGTCTGGGAGACAGAAGTCCATAGGGCCTCCTCATTGTCTTTGGAGCTTACACCCCCTTGTATATTGCCCCTTTTCGATAACGCCCCAATTGATAGCACAGCAGAGTCCGGCATGCACTGTATGGGAAAGCAGTCCACCTTGTTACAGTTTTAAATTTCTTGCTATCTTAGCATTCAGATACCAATGGCTTGCTAAAAGAAAAAAGAAATGTAATGTCTTTTTATTCTCAGGTCAATCGCTCACACTTTGTTCTGTTTTCAGAATCATTGTTTTATATATATATATATATAAATATATATATTTTCTTTTTTTTGTTCCAGAAAAGATTTTTTTGTTTGTTAATTTAAAAATGGGCAGAAAGTATTCGAGAAAAAAAAACAATGTGAACTGCTTTAGCTTTCTGGGGATTTTAAGGATAGCTTTTCTGCTGAAGCCAATTTCAAGGGGAAAAGTTAAGCACTCCCACTTTTCAGAAAAAAAAATAATAAACACACAAAGAGTGTTGAGGACTTGTAGCTAAAAAAAAATAAGTTTTAAAAAAACTGACTTTCTGTATTTATGATAGATATGACCATTTTTGGTGTTGAGTAGATTGTTGCATTGGAAATGAACTGAAGCAGTATGGTAGATTTAAAAGAAAAAAAATCTTTTGTGTACATTTAGCTTTTGTATGGTCCAGCTGACAGCTCCTCATTTGATGTTGTCTTGTTCATTCCTAGCAGATAGATTGCAATCTGTTGATTCGCCGAAGCTTTTCTCCCCTTTGTCCCTTTCTTCCCCCATCCCCCATCCTGTAATCTTCCACTTAAGGTGGCTGCCTTCGTTTCTTAGAGGGTGGCTGCATAATTATTTTATAAAAACTAAAGAAGTTCAAAGGGTTTTTGGGGTCACTAGGATCCTCACAGAATATTTTTGGTTGGGGAGTTGAAACTTTTTAAGGCGTATACATCCTAGTTACCTATGTCTGTTTGTTACCTTCGTGCACTTATCTTTTATTTTTCTTTCCTCTGTTGTTTTTTTTTCTTCCTTCCCGTCTTCCTTTCCTTGTTTGGTAGATGCTTCAAAGATTCTTTTCCTAAAACAAAAGCATTTATTTCTGTTTGTGTAATTGGGCTGCGCACTTTTTTTTTCCCAAACAAATTTTTTGGTTAGGGGTTTATTTTGGTTTTGGTTTGTTTTGGATTTTTTTTTCCTCTCAAAAAAAAAAAAAAGAAATTTCATGCTTTAAATAAAATCCAAAGACACACCCTTTCACTGCTGGTGCAGGAAGAGGGGGAAAGGGTTCTTGTTACTTGAGAATTTGTTTCTGAATTAAACAAAACAAGACTAAGTTTAAATAAAGGAAAAAAAAGAGAAAAAGATTTCCCAGGTTATCATCTGTGCTGCTTCTGCAAGCAGAGAGGCAGCTGTTAATGACGATTCCACATACCAAAAGACACGTTTTTACTTCAGAGTTTTGTCCTTGTGTTAGGCAGTCTGAGCGGTGAATGATCTAGAAGGGGCAGCCAGCCAAGAATCAGATAGCGGTGTACAGAAGAGCAAAACCCAGCAGACACACAGAAAAGGGAACCGGACATAAGGCACTTGTGCTTGTCAATCTCTGTATTCCTGTAACACAACACAATGCAACGCGCCCTTTCTCATCTTTAAAAGTCTGGACTTTGAAAGGAAAACTTTGTGCTGCTAAAAATGTAGATTTCGGAGACAAATGCTTTGCTGTTTCACTTTCGTAGCCAAAAGTCAACAGAAACAATCTCCCCCACCCCACCCCTTTGCCCGGAAAGTGTGAGATCCTCCCTTCCTCTCTCTTCTTCTCCCCCCCCCAATCCCTTACCTCCCTTTTCTTTCTACTCCTTATGTTTCAAAAGGGAACTTTGAAGACTGTGAATCAGGTTCCGTCGCTTGGTCCCCTTTCCGGCTGCTTTCCCCAGTGCTGAAGCCACTCATTCATCGGCTTTGCAAAAGACTGGAGCATTCCACGATAGGAAAATGGATTTCATTTTTTTTTAAGCCGGGACTGTTTTTATTTTTATGAGGTTTTTGTTTTTAGTTTAATGAAAGAGCAGATCCTGAACTGTTGTACATATTTCTAACTAGGCTGATGCACAGTGCAAATTCCTTTTTTTAATTGTTTTTTTTAAAGTAGAAAATACTAAAGAGTACCATCTAAATATTCATACCAGTATCCAGTTGTAGCATAAGGTGTCAAAAACAAATACACAAACCATTTGCTGTTTTAACAAGCTGTTTTCTTTTGACAGAAATTCTTGTATTTCTCCCTGTGTTTGAGATGAACATTTTTTAAATTCTAAAGTTGTACAGTTTTTTTTGTTTTCCATTATTTTATCTTGTTTGTAATTCTATGAAATATATATATATATATTTTTTGCCATTTAACTGTTGTATGTTACTCTGTGTCTGTATCATATAGAATTTTTTGTTTGTTTCGTTCTCTATGTGATACCAATTAACAATTTAACACTAGCTTTATCTGTCAAATTCTGCTAGGTCTCTTCTGAAACTTTTTTTAAAATGATATTGCTTGGTAATAGTGCAATTTCTACCCCTCCTCCCCCAACTTTTAATTCCTTTCCTTGAATTTTTTTCCATCCCTCAGGATTTGGAAGATGGGGTGTTAGGGTGTTCTCATAACCCCCCCCAAAAAAAAACCAGATTACATCCTCCCTCTGTGGCAGGTCAGATGCAGTAGGATGGTGTTAGTGCCCAGCATGCAGGCAAGGACCAGGCACTCTTCCTGGTTTTCCCTGGCCTGTGCAAGCATTGGCAAATAGCAGTGGGGTTGGGGAAGCCTTAATTTTCACCTAATGATTGTTTCCCAGATGTTAATGTGACTAGCTAAACTTAGTTCAACCCTGAGTAGGATGCACAGTAAATGATTTTTTTTCAGTCACCAGAATTCTCTACTTGGAAGCCAACCCCAGGAATAGCAGAACAGTGATAGTTAAAGAGTGAAAACTAAAATTCTTCTACCCAAGGTGGCTGAATGGCCAGTGTGATTGTTTTGGGGGTTTTTTAGCAGGCAAATTAACTTCCAAATTTATTTGTGAATAGACAGATATCTTGATTTCAGTTTAGAGTACTTTCCATCTGGGAATTAGTTCTGTCTGCTGCCTGGTAGAAGGATGAGTGTTATTCTGTAACTTCTTTTTTCAAAATCAGCCCACCCCTCCAATTTTTTTTTTTTGATCCTGAACATGGTTTCCATCTTCTTCACCCCAGGCAGAAGGGCGATGTTGCTGGATTGGCTGGGACTGTTTTTGTCATAGTACCAAGTGAATCCACGGAGTTCCCCTTCTTTCTTCCACCCCTTGAAAAAGGTGGGAGAAGGTAGCCTTCCATCTCCCAAATCCCCTCCCCACGCACACTCCCCTAAATCCTCACAATACAAGGAAAAGATTTAAAACACTTAGCAAGTTTTTCGTTTGTTTTTAAATTAAAAGCTATTTAAAGAGATGAATGTGGCCAAAGTTTTACACAATTGAAAATAAAGTAAAACAGTTGGCATGTGTTAAAGAAACCTGAGTTTATCAGGCATGTCAGGAAGATGCAGGAAAGAGAGAGGCAGTAACCCAAGCCAGTGCACTTGACGCTCATGGACATATATTTTTTTTAAATAATAAATTAAATTAAAACATTTTAAATAGAAGCAGAAATTGAGTCGGTTGGTTGGTTTGTCGGCGCTGAGATACTGCCCACTGTGAAACACAAAGCTTTGCCTAGTTTTTTTTTTTGTTTACTTTCTTTTGTGGGGGGGAGGGGGGCGAGTTTGGGTAGGACAGAAAAACGTAAATGAACGTTACCCTGAGGTGAAGAGGTATATGAACAGCCTTTGCAATGTACAAAAAAAATAGAGCAAATGAAACCAAAAAATGATGTTCTTGGTGTTTTTCTATAATGTAGTCTTGTTAGCTTTTTTTGTTACTGTAACAATGCTGATCTCGAACTGTACCAAAATACATGGAGACTAACAGAAACCACATGGAACTTTCAAAACCTAAAAAAAAAAAATTTGTCACAAAAAAACTTTGTTGTCATAGTTAAGTTGATTGTAGATGGTAATTGAATATACTCCTTTGAAAATATTTCATCAAGTATGTTTCCTGCTCATTGTGATACATTAAAAAAAAATGAGCAAAAGCTCTTGTCTCCGATGTCACCAGGTGTGTGCTCTGGAATGGGGTGGGGGTGGGGCTGAGTGGGCGGCCTTGACCCTGGGGGGGTGGGGGGGGTGCATGGAGTGAAATTGATAGGCACACAGACCTGCGCCCAAGTGCTTAGGGGCCGAGATGAGTTGTCTTTCCCCATGCCCTGGCACTGATGGAGAAAATAGCAGCGACCATGGCTATGACACCATCTGTTGAATTGGAAGGGACTGACCCTGGTCTGACTTAAGGAACTCTGTAAGAATCCCAGACACCTTGCAAAGGAAATTACATGCAAAGGAAAATGGGATGGTCTGGAGGAAGAAAAAAAAAGTTCACTCAACTTCTATGAAACAGACTGGATCTGGGGTTAGTGACATTTCTTTCCTCTGATTATGAGAGGGAGGGAAGAAGGAAGGAAGGAGAGAAAAAGAAAGGGAAGTTGAAGAAGTAAATGCTTGACTATTTCCCTTTGCTAGCAAAGCCCAACTTGGTGGAGCACTGCAGAGCAGAGGATGGGAAAGGCTAAAATTGGTAATACCAGATTCCAAAAGACTATACCCATTCCTCTTATCAAAAAAAAAAAAATCACCCCTCACAGCAGAAAATGCCTGAAATTCATTAATAAGGAGCCCATCCAAGATGAGACCCAGAGGCCTTGCATTCATCTCTAATTTATAGCTGCAGCTGATAAATAATTTACAAATCTATTGCAGCAGGGATTGGAAGGCCCCTTGAACAGGCTGTGTCCTTGGAAGGGCCTCCCTTATCTGACCTTGGACAGCAGGGGGCCCTTTCTTCCCTGGGGCTCGAGATTGACCGGCTCCTAGGGGCTCAGCAAGACATAGCTGTCCCAGTTTGTTTCCTTGATCCAGAAGACAAGTGGGGGAGAGGAAACAGTCCTACTAATAACTTGGGGATTTCATACGATTTTTTTTTTCTTTAAGAGCTGGAAGTGAATCTTCAAGCTCATAGGATCATTGATTTCAGAAACCATCTACTCCTATTAGTATGCCCCCCCACCTCATTTTACAGTTGAGGAAACTGAGGTTCACAGATATAAATTGATTGACCCAAGGTCAAGCTAGCATTAAGTTCCAGAGAGATGAATCCAACTGAAGTCCTTATCTAGTCCAGGAAACAGGTTACACAGCTGGTTAGGATGAGAAACCAGGTTCCTGACCCCCTAGCTCAGTGTTGTTGCCACTATGACAAGTAGGCAATGTTGGGGGCCAGGCTCCCCACCTGTTTGTCCATTAGAAACCCCAGTTTGAGTGGGGGTCAGGTAACCTTGTAGTGCCAAGCAAGTGACAACAGCTCAAGCTTCCCTGACGCACGCTTCTGAGTGTTCTCAGAAAAGACCCTAGACCTCACTGAGTTGTCTTGACACACAAAGAGTTAACATCCCTGGCTTCTCACGCTGTACCCCTCAAAGCACAGATGACCCTGCCTGCGTCCAAGAGCTTGCTCGGCTGCCTTCTTGGGGCAGAATTATTTCAGGACCTGACAGGTTAACATGGCAACTTTTTAAATGAATTTTTTAAATAGAACTCATTTTTGCACAAAAGTTCTGCTGCTTCAGCTTTTGTGGAAAATATAAATTTCAGTCTTCTTCCTCCAGATGCTACATTAGGAAAATACTTGGTAATAATAGTTGAATAGAGAGAAGGAGGGGAGGCGGCAAGGATGCTGGATATAGGTTTAAATATTGGCCCTGTGTGACCTTGAGGGAGTCACTTGACCTCTGGACTTCAGTATCCTCATCTGTAAAATGGAGAAGATGGGACCAGATGGTCCATTCCAAACTAGAGTTCCCTAAACTTTTAAGTTTGGGAGGGGTGTGTGAAATAGTCCCCTTTTCTTACTATCCATGGTAAAATACTTCTGAATTGGAAAAAAAAAAGATTATCTGGACTTTCCTACCAATCTGGCTTCAATATGTGGATATGAATCTTGGAGTTACCAGAGGTTTATCTCCAAAATGTGGAATTGTAACATCTGAAAAAAGCTCGTGTCTGTTTAGTCAAGTGGCTGTTTCTAATTTTGCTTTAAAGAAATGTCTGTAGTGGCCAGCCCACGTAACACGCTAATGACCTTCCAAATTTCACTTTTAAAAAGAGAGCAGGTTTTGAGTTACACTGAGTACAAGCAGCTTAAGAGTCAAATTGAAAGATGAGAGGTTTGCACCTGCTACCCCCCAACATTTAATTACAGCAGGACAGATGTGCTAAGCCCCAGCCTCTATCCAAGGCTGCTAAGGCCATGACTAGCCTGACCAAACTGTTCTGCAGGCCCTTAGCTCTGGGAAAACTTTTCATTGTTCTCCCCATAACTCTGTAGTGAATGTGTTTTTCTTTTTTCTTTTGGCTTTTTGTTTGTTTGGGTTTTATTGTGAGGCAGTCAGGGTCTTGCCCAGGGTCACACAGCTATTAAGTATCTGAGGTCAGATTTGAACTCAGGTCCTCCTGACTCCAGGGCCTGAGCTCTATCCATTGTGCCACCTAGCTGCCCCTGTAGTGAATGTTTTTAACTTCTATAATAGATGCAGGCTGTCAGCACTTCCTTACTGAGTACTCTCTAGCCCAGCCTGAGGCTTGCCTCTTGAATCAGTGAAGGAATAAAGCATTATTAAGCACTTACTATGTGCAGAGCACGGGGGATACAGATAGAAAAGTGAGATGATCGCTCCTCTGAAGGGGCTCACATTCTAATGGAGTGAGGTGTCAAACTCTGCCCGCCTACTGGTGGCCAGAACCAGATTGAAACATAATTGGGAAATGTTTGTCAACATAAAAATAAAATACAAGACAGACAATGTTAATTTGTGGTTTTCTAAGTCAGCATATGTCTATTTGAGTTCCACACCTTGCATCAACATATATGAAAGACTTTCACTTCAAGTCAAATGGAAAGGTCCCATGGCCCTTAGGATACAGCAGAAAAGTAGATGGCCTCTGATATCATTTCCACTTATCAAATCGATATCTGTTTCTGATGATGAACCATTTGACGGTGCCAAGGACTTTGGTGGTAAGATAAGAACTCTCTTTTCCAGGTCTTCAGTAGCTGGGCTTGGGACATCCAAAGGAAAGGAGCTGCATCTCCCCAGGAGTGGCTTCCTAAAATAATGGCTGATGGCCCTGGCTATTGTTACTGGTGGTGATTCTCCCCCCTCAGTGAAAACTTGTTTTCCACGTCGGCTCGCTGCCTTTAACTTCAATCTCTCGCCCAAACACCTCCCTCTTTTTCTTTTTTTCCAACACTCACGTCTGCACCAGGCCCCCTGGGAGTCTGATCTTCAGCTTTTTTCACTGAAAAACAAATCTGGAGAACTTTCATTAAGCTAGGCAGCCTGCCCCCATTACTATTAACTAGCTTAGACATCATAAAAGCCCATGATTCTATGACCAAACTTGGGTTCTGTGGATATGCAGCCTTCTCAAAAATTGCGATTATAGGCTCAAGAATAAATTTCCCTTTGATCCTTTATGACTTACTCATTCCTTATCCCATGTGGGATGTACAGAGGAAGGAGCTATTTAATCCACCTTTTGGCGTTCTTATTAACATGGGAATGGTAACTTTGGGATTAACTGTCTTATTCTGGCCTAGGATCCCTGGGCTTAGAAAATGAGCCCTGAAAAGCAACTAGGAGTGGTGATTGAAATAAGGATCAGTAGTTCCTCGGTCTCTTAAAAGAAGCTTACACCGTTATAGTACTCTCTTGTTCTCTCTTTCTTTTCCTACTTTCTTTGGGGTTTTTTTTTTGTTGTTTTTGTTGTTGTTGTTCCCCCACAAGCACCTTCTCTGTTGTGGCTTTAACATCTCAACAGCTAGTACTTTGTATCCCCTCCTCTCTTACCCTGCCTCCCCAAATGTCTTAACTCTCTGTCTTCATCAGTTGAATTGGCATGCTGCAATTAATGTGGGCATGGTAGGGGGAGGAATTGGCCATGGCTCAGTCATCTTTTCCATCACTTAGCCCTTAAAGAGTTTAGCTGCACAGAGAGTCTGGAGGCTGTGGTTAAGGAATTTGAGTCTCTTTCATAGCATTCAGGGCAGCTAGGACACACAGTGGATAGAGCTCTAGGCCGGGAGTCAGGAAGACTCATCTTCCTGAGTTCAAATCCAGCCTCAGACACTTCCTAGCTGTGACCCTGGGCAAATTACTTTACCCTGTTTGCCTCAGTTTCCTCATCTGTAAAATGAGCTGGAGAAGCAAATGGCAAACCTCTCCAGTATCTTTGCCAAGAAAACCCCAAATGGGCTCACAAAGAGTCAGACACAACTGAAAAGACTGAACAGCAACCTTCCTTTCTATATGGCAATTCAGAGGAGTCTGTTGATTCATACCAGCACAGTGCTACACTGGCCCGACTAGGGGAAAGAATTTTCATTCAGTTGCAAATATAGGGTAGGGCTGATGTAAGTGGAGTGAGCAAAATATATATTTTTTTTTCCTTTGGACAGATAGGCCAGGAGCTGCTGTTCAATTGTTTCCTATTCTTCATGACCCCATTTGGGATTTTCTTGGCAAAGCTCATTTTACAGATGAGGAAACTGAGGCAAAGAGGGTTAAGTGACTTGCCCCAGGGCTAGGAAGTGTCTGAGGTCTGATTTGAACTCATGAAAATGAGTCTTCCTGACTCCAAGCCTAGTGTTCTCTCCTTTATGGTGCCACCTAGCTGCCCATAGGCAAGAATACCCATCGCCTATGGTTAATTAATTACGTGTGAAGTGTACTTTTTAGTAGAGTCCGCCATGATGGAGAACATGTTGCCAACTGTTAACTCCTCCCTCTGCTTCTGTCTAAATTAAGCCAATACAGACACCCCACCAGGAACAGGAACATCTTAAAAAGCCTCCTGAGAATAGTGAAGGCACAAGTGGCCCAGATGTGTGAAGAAGAGCTAGAGAACCAGGAAAGAAAGCAATCAGAG